AGAGCGTACCACATCAAGTAGATGGCCCTGTCACAGCAGATGTGAAGTTCATCTCATTTACTGTTCCACTGTGGATTCAATTCTGCAGCCTGTCTTGTACAATGGCTGTCTTTAAGTTAGACAGAGAGTTGATTAATGTGAGATGTGACCAATGAAGAAGAAAGCCTGGCTTCATTAAAGACCTAGAGGAGGTAGGCAAAATGATGTAACACTTCATGAAAAATAATAAATAAATTACAGTTAGTTTGATAGATTTTTTCTTCCTTGGTTTGAGAAATGTTCTGTATGTTGTTCATTCCTTCCATCAGTAACTTGACCCTTGTCTAGAAACACACTCAACTGAAGCACTATAGTCACAGTAACAGTTACTTAAGTCACTGTTATTAGAGTTTTGATGTCAGGCTTTTATATGTATCTTTTATTTAGGTTTATATGTCTTTGTGTATGTGTGTGCAGGAGTTTTCATGGTTGTGTGTGTGTGTGTGTGCCTGTTGAACAGATGCTGTTCTCTCTGACTGCCCGTTGGAGTCCCTCATGTTTATTGCATCAGTTGTATTTATTGCAGAAGTATCCCCTCGCCCAGGCCTTAGGACACTGTGCAAGAGTCACACACTCACAGTTTACTACAGTTTATTGTGTGTTCAGTTCTGTGGACACATGCACATAAGCATAACAGTCTTGGCATGTAATTATTATGATTTTTAAAAAATCCTCTTGCCACTAGTGTATAGTTTTAGATTTATCAGCTGAGATGTTCTGTCAATCTCCGTTTCTGCTCATATTATTTAAAATGAAAAGCAGCTTGTGTTTCCAGAAACAATGTCTGCATTATACTGTTTTGGTTTTTTTAAATCACTGTAGTGCCAAATCACAGTAGAAATCATCTCAGGACACTTTACATAATAAGGTCTAAACTTTATTATTATTATTGTGACAAACCCAACAAATGCCCCATGAGCACACACATTTCTATGGTGAATGTCTGCATAAGCGCCTGCACACTTCAAGTCAATGAGATATTATTTTTGGCATAAGTGATGGGAAAATACCTGCAGG